TTCCTTCCCTTTAACTTGTTAGCTCCACCCCCTGTACCTTTTCATTTAGTTAAGGTTAATGACAACCGTATGATTTGGGGGGAGTGGGATAGGGATGTATTTTATCCTGGATTTTGTCTTCTCAGTGAAATCTTCTCTGGTCATCTTGTCTGATATTACAGTGCACTTTCTTACCCCCACACAGACGCTTATATATACATATACCGATCAGTTTCTCCTTCCCGATGTGTTTCTCTTACCATTTTCTAACATCCTATATTTCTTTAATTATTTTTTGTCTACTCCACTGGAATATAAACTCTATGAGGCCAGAGATGATCGTTTTTTTCACTACTGTATCCCCAGTGTTTTTAGCACAGTGCCTGACAAGCAGTAGGCTTTCAATAATTCTTTGTTGAATTAGTCATTGTTGTTATCGTTAAGTACCATCAAGTCGATTCTGATTCATGGTGACCCTGTATAGGGCTTCTTGAGGAGCGGCTGGTGAGTTTGAACCACCACCCTTGTGGTCTATTGCTTATCCTACAGCGCCACACCAGGATTCTGAATTCTTCAATAGTGTGAAGTGTTCCCTGTAGTATTTTGAGTGTGTTGTAATATCATTTCATGTAAGGGCTCTCTAACTACTATATGTAAATGTATATGAACACTTTTATTTACTTACTACTGGTACCAAGGAGCTCTGATAGCATAGTGGTTATGAGTCGGGCTGCTAATGTCATGATCAGCAATTCGAAACTAACAGACATTCTGTAGGAGAAAGATGAGGCTTTCTGTTCCCGTAAAGATTTACTGCCTCGGAAACCCTATTCAGGGTCGCTATGAGTCGGAACTGACTCCACGGCACAGCACCACCTCTACCACCACTGGTACTTGCTAAAAGTAAGGTGGATGGTATTGTTGCTGCTGCTCCTCCGAAACCCTATACAGGGTCACTATGAGTTGGAACAGACTCAATGTCACTTTGACAACAACAACAATGTTAACATTTAAACGTTTTCAGGTTGACAGATTTGCAATGGAATTAGAACAGAGCCGGGACCTGAACAATACCATCGTGCATATTGACATGGATGCTTTCTATGCCGCTGTAGAAATGAGGGACAATCCGGAACTGAAGAAGAAACCCATTGCTGTAGGATCAGTGAGTATGTTGGTAAGTAGGAGGTAAACATCAGAGACAAAAAGGAAATTTTATGAAATACTCAAATGAAGCTTCTTGATTCATAAAGGGGGCAGCCTGTATTGAGTTTTACTAGTTTCCTGCATATTTTTCTGAGTGTTAATGTATCACTAATATGCTTTGTGTGTGCTCAGTACTGGATCCTTTCAACAGCCCTTGAGCTACAAATTTTCTTTAACATACAAGAAAACAGTCAGACTCAGAAATGGTTAAAAATTTGCCCAGAGTTGCAAATCTGGAAAATAGTAAGATAGTATTGTATCTTTCCATTTTAAATTGAACTTTTTTAAAGTAATTATTCTAGTTAAATAGAATTGAGTTAAAGGAAAAAGAAAAGGAAATGTTATTGTAAGCAAAGTTAGCGAATTATGACCTGAAGGCCAAATCCAGCTTGCTTCCTTTTTTCTTTTTTTTTTTCGTAAATAAAATTTTAATGTAACACAATCATACTCATTCATTTATTATTATAATTGTACTAAAAGAGCAGATACCATATGATCTGTAAAGCTTCAAGTATATTGTCTGCTAAGGAAGGAAAGGTTAACCAACCCTATTCTAGCATCACATATTTTATTAATATAATACACTTTGATTGCAATTAAGTAGTTTTCCCATAGCTTAGAACCTTTGCTTTTCTGCCTTTTTTGGTCCAGAACACCCATTAAGGATTAGCATGGTTTTGAGTACTGTCAGTGTTTTAAAATATTTGGAAAACACTAATGGTAAATTGCTATTATTATTCTAAAATAGTTTTTTCATTTCATAGAGTTGTTTTTTTCATAATTTTAAATTTTCATCTGAGATATCAAACATGATTCCATTTGTTACATAGACTATTGTCGGTTATAATCATAGGTAATTTTCTCTTTCACTCTCATAATTTTTTTAGTTCCATCTCCCAGTCAAGGTATTTTCACCAAAAAAGGGTATTAAAGCTTAAGAAATGAGACTTGATTTTTAAAGTTTTTTTTTAAGCTTTAATCTCTTAATAGTGATTAAATGTATCACTAAAATCATTATATGTTAGATTATACATTAGACTTTTGATTTTTTTTCCAGATGAAAAATTGACAAAATCCTAAAATAGAGCAAATCCCCAAACGATTACAGTATTATTTTCATATAAAATCCCTATCATCCAATCTTTGATATATACTATATTGCAGGTATGCCTTAAACCTAATGAAATTAGTTATTAGAAATGTTAAGAGAACCTTTTTATTAGCACAGTCTTACTTATTGCTTGGTGTCACAGAAACGTGGGGGCAGCAGTGGGGTAGGGTTGAGGGTATAGTAACACCATGGTAGGATCGAATCAACTTAATTTGATGCCGTGCCTATAAAAGAGACGTCCTTGAATTGAACATGCACATCAATAATGTGTTTCGTATAAATGCAATGATCAATATGTCCATTTAGGTGTATCTGTTCTTTCCCATGTGGTCAATTGTCTTTCAGTCTACTTCAAATTACCATGCAAGAAGATTTGGTGTTCGTGCAGCCATGCCAGGATTTATAGCTAAGAGACTCTGCCCACAACTTATTATAGTGCCCCCAAACTTTGACAAATACCGAGCTGTGAGTAAAGAGGTAAGTCTGATGCCTCACCTCCTACTGATAGCCTTTTGCTGGTTTCCTGTATCTTACAGAGTCAAATCCAGATGCCTTAGCACATCAGGATTTGGCCTGAGCTGACCCCTTCAGTCTCACTTCACATCACTTCTTCAGCTTATATATTGAGTACTGAAATGCATGTAATATCCGGAATACACCATGCTAGTTCCCATTTGTTTACTTTCCACACATTTTTCCATCTGTTCCTATCTCCCCAGAAGTAACTACAGATTACATTCATTCCAGTATAACCTGCCCTTAACTGTTTTTTCTTAATATTCAGGATAAAGTTTCTTCTGAAACCACCTTATATTTATAGTTTCTACGACCTGGTTGAGTTATTCAGGACACCCTAGTGGTGCAGTGGTTTAAACATTTGAGCTGCTAATAGCTAGGTCAGAAAGTTTTTAAATAAAACTCATGTATTTCTTTGCTTTTCCTGTACTGAGCATTTAATATTTAATGAACAGATAAAGAGAAAGAGGGATCATCCATTGCTTTGAAAAAGATTTCAAAATACAAAGATTTGCTTGGTCACTAAAATTGCCTAAACTGTCACATATGAAAAACTGCTATTTTTCTATTTTTTATGACAAAAGTAGATAGTTTCTCATGCCAGTGCTGGAGCCTAAGTCTTAAATTAAAATTTTTAGCTCTACATCAAGCATTTTAAAACTATGTTGGTAAAATGCAGTGCATTTCAACTATTGTCTGAATTAAAACACTTAACATTTATTGTCTAGCAATCATTACCAATTATTGATGTGAGTGATCTTTAAACTTGCTCCTCTTACTGAGTTCCATCTCGTTTCCCCTAGATATGATACCTCTAGTCCATGGAAACAAGTGTTTTTCACCTACCTCTGAAAAGGTGATGGGGCAGGGCAGGAAGCTCACTTACATTTGGTTACTACTGACTTCATTTACTACTCCTTCATCCTAAGGAGCTCTGGTAGTGTAGTGGTTACGAATCGGACTGCTAACATCAAGGTCAGCAGTTTGAAAACAAGGTTTGCAAGAGAAAGATGAGGCTTTCTGCTCCCATAAAGATTTACAGCTTTGGGAACCCTGTGCAGGGTCACTATGAGTTGGAACCAACTCCATGGTACTTAACAACAACAAAACAACAACAATTAAAAAGTGCAAGGAAACAAAAGTATTATAAGGAAATTTGCAAAGGTCTTGGGTTTGGAAACCCAACGGGGGGGACCTTCTTCGCCTTTTTTCAGGTTGGCGGAATTGAGGAAACATTTCAGTTTTCACTTTGCGGTTGAGGGGTTTTCTGTGGGCGGTGTTTTGTGTTGTGGAGAGCGTCTCAAAAAATAAGGAAGAGGTAGACATAGTCAGTGTCCCTCTACGAATTGGTTTTTGTTGATTCTTTTTCATTTCTAGTGTTTGTCTTTATGGTGTTGGTGTTGTCGAAGTTCCAGTTACGGTGTTATCATTATCAAAAACAAAAAAAGAAGCCTCCAGGAATAGAAATTTTGCAACAACTTGCTGCAGCACTGGAGGCATGCTCACTTGTTTATGCCAAGAAATTTGGAAGACAGCTACTTGGCCAACTGATTGGAACAGATCCATATTGGTGCCCATTCCAAAGAAAGGTGACTCCGTTGAATGTAGAAATCATCTAACAATATCATCAATATCACATGCAAGTAAAATTTTGCTGAAGATAATTCAAAAAGCATTTGTAGCAGTATGTTGACAGAGAGCTACTAGAAATTCAAGCCAGATTGCAGAAGAGGACATGGAATGAGGGATGTCCTTACTGACATCAGATGGATCTTGGCTAAAAGCAGAGAATATCAGAAAAATATTTACTTGTGCTTTATTGACTGTGCAAAAGCATTCAACTATGTAGATCATAACAAACTATGGAGAACATTGCAAAGAATGGGTATTTCAGAACATTTAATTGTGTTCTTAAAGAGCCTGTACATAAGGCAGTTGTTCATATAAAATAAGGAGATGCTCCATGGTTTAAAATCATGAAAGATGTGTACCAGGGTTGTATCTTTTCACCATACTTTTTCAGTCTGTATGCTGAGTAGATATTTTTAGAAGCTGGCCTGTATGAAGAACATGGTAAGATTGGAGAAAGACTCACTAACAACCTGAAATAATGCAGATGACACAATCTTGCTTACTGGAATCCTAGAGGACTGATGAAGATCACAGACTTCAATTTAAAGATGCCCCTCAAAATAAAGAGAACAAAAATCCTCACAACTGGACCAATAAATAACTTCATGATAAACGGAAAAAGATTGACGTTGTCCACAATCAACACTCATGGAAACAGCTGTCAAAAAATCAAAACACAGAAAGAAGCAAGTATGGCAAGAGTTTATCTGTTGTCCTTTGGACATGTTCTCAGGAGGGATCGATCCCTGGAAAGGACATCATGCATGGTAAAGTGGAGAGTCAAATAAAAAGAGCAAGACTCCCAACAAGATGGATTGACATCGTAGCTGCAACAGTGGACTCTAGCATAGTAATTACGAGACTGACTCAAGACTAGGCATTATTTCCTTTTATTGTATAGGGTCCCTGTGAGTCAGAACCAGCTCAATGGCACTAAGCAATAACAATTAAAAAGAGACAAAATACTCACTACAAACAATGTAGCCTTTTGATGAGTTTGGAAATATTTCAGAGACTTTAAATTCTTCTTTAGTTGATAAAGCTTCTGACAATGTAGCAATGAAAACTAATTTGGTTTTAGTTGTCTTTATTTACAGAGACAGAAATCTTTTCAGATTTGAACAGATCTAGCTAGTTTATTTGTGAATAAGAAATGGTTTCTCACATGTAAACGAACTACAACATAAATCCATCACTTACTATGTAAATACCGTAATACTTATCGCTTGGTTCAGAAGCTCAAGGAAAAGCCATTTTGTTTTCTCGAAAAGCTTGTATGATTGCTTTAACTATTCTTGAAACTTTAAGTGCTTGATTTTTACTGGAACATGTCTATTTTAGTTCTTACAGAAGTTTCCTGCGTAAAGGAAGTTAGTGAATGCTCAACAATGTCTCTAGGGATACCCCTCATTCAGAAGAATCTGAGTTGGCTGCCAAGTACAGACCTTCCAGACTTTCATTTTCACTAGAAAGACTCTACTTGAGTACATTATAAAAATGGTTTCTTCCTCAAGAACAGAGCTAATTAAACTTCTCTATGAGTAAAGCTGAGCCAAGATTTATGTCATCATTTTCTAAAATCCCCTTTGATTCAGCTGTTCATAATTATATTAAGTAAAAAGCTTTCTTTCTATTTATATATATATTTTAAAGTTTTCTCATGATACAACAGGCAGCTTTTAATTGGTGATGGAAGACTAACATAATCCAGCAATTATGTTTTCTAATATGCATATCATTTTGGCAACCATGCCCCGTAATTACATCTAATACTGAGTGGTGAAAAAAACAAAACACACACACACTCAACTTCATAGTTTCCTATAACAAAGCTATGTTATATAAAAAGGTTTTATGTATTATGTAACTACACTCCAGCTCTCTCTCTGTGTCCTTTTATCCTGAGACACAACTCCAGGTTTTTTCCCCATCATTTTAACATAGACATGGAACTACTCTACACAGACTGTCAACTTTTCCAATCTAATCCAAGTAGGTAATTGAGCTTTGTTTTCCGGTCTGAATAAATTAGTTAGTATTTGTGTTGAGTAGAGTTTTATGTGCATATTATAATGCATGTAGCCAGTTTCTAAAGCAATGAAGTCCCTTTACTTTTTTTTTCCATTTTATGGCCATGAATCTTTATAAAGCTTTAATAAAAGGTAAGGGGAGAGTAACACCCTTCCATACCACTGCTACTTTTGACTGATTACCAAAAATTACACTGCTAAATCACTAGAGTGATGTTATCTGAGATTGGTTCAAATCTCTTATAGATCTAGAGCAAAAAATAAAAGAACCACTGACTTGAGTCAATCCCAATTCCTCACAGCCTTATAAGGCAGAGTAGAAGTGCCCCACAGGGGTTCCTAGGCTGTCTATCTTTACGGAAACCTACTGCCACATCTTTCTCTTGTGACTGTATCTAGAAGTGGGTGGCTAAATGGGAATTGTATGTATCAAATGAAGCTATTTCCTAGTCTTTTGCCTTCATGATCTATTGTAATACAAAAGAGATTTTAAGACTATGCCCTGGCCGTTAATTATGTATTCCCTAAATTCACGAGTTAGTGGCTGTAGGATCCTTGCTAAAGTTGCTAAGTAAGACTGTTAATGGGTTCCTGTCAGTTATATGGAGTCCTGGTGTGGGTTTGTAGGATAAGCACTGGACTGCTAACCACAAGATTGACAGTTCAAACCCACTAACCACTCCTCGGGAACAAAGTTGCTATGAATTGTAATCAACTCTATGGCACTTAACATCAGTTATATATAATAGAAGCTTTGGCTATGGCAGCAACATTTAAACTTTTTTTGTGTCCCTGTTGAAGGTTAAGGAAATACTTGCTGATTATGATCCCAATTTTATGGCCATGAGTCTTGATGAAGCCTACTTGAATATAACCAAGCACTTACAGGAAAGGCAAAACTGGCCTGAGGACAAAAGAAAGTATTTCATCAAAACAGGAAACTCTGCAGAAAATGGTAAGCAACTCATGAGATCTACCTAACTAAAAACTTAACGAAACGCTCTGAATTCCAATGAACTCTTTAGCATGTAGCTCGTATCCAAAACCTGCTGCCATCAAGTTGGTTATTTTCCTAAGATATAACTAACAAAAGTTTGGGCTGCATTGAAGCTGAGGAGGTTATCCATTTCATTAACCAGTGTTTTTGTTAATAAAAATTTAAAAGGTGAAAATAAGGTTAGCTTCAGCATATCAAAGCATTGGGTGAGTTACTTCTATTTGTAATTTTTTTTTAACTGTAGTAAAATGTATATCACAAAAGATTTACCATTTCAAACTTTTTTACATGTACAATTCAGTGACATTAATTACATTCATAAGTTGTACAAGCATCACCACTATCTATTTCCACATTATTTCATAGCCCTTAACAGAAACTTGGAGACCTAGTGTGGTGCTGTAGGCTAAGCACTCAACCATAAGGTCAGTTTGAACCATTAAGATCAGCAGTTCAAACTCACCGGCTGCTCCTTGGAAACGCTATATAGACTCATTATGAGTAGGAACCGACCTGATAGCACTTAGCAGTGGGTGTGACGTGATATCTTGTGACAGTTTTGATTTGTATTTCCTTGGTGACTAGGACAGTGCATTTTTTTTGAGCATCTTTTTTATGTTCATGTTGACAAAATGTATATTCAAGTCCTTTGCCCACTTTTTAATTGGGTAATTTACCTTTTTGTTGTTGAGTTGTATGAGTTCTAGATATTATGTTCTAGATATTAACCCCTCAAATATATAAGGAGAACTGGTGGTGCTGTGGGTTAGGCATTGAAGGTTGGCAGTTCAAAGCCACCAGCTACTCTTTGGGAGAAAAATGTTGCTGTCTACTCTCATAGTTACACTATTGGAAGCCCTTTATAGGATTGCTCTGAGTCAGAATTGACTTGATGACATTGGATTTGCTTTTTGGGATTGTATCACATATGTGGAGCCTGCATATTTTCTTTCATTTTGCACGTTACCCCTTCATTTTGTTGACTAAGCCCTGTGATGTGTAAAATCTTTTAATTTTGATGAAGTCCACTTTATGTATATTACATTTTGTTGCTCATGCTTTTTATGTGGGATCTAAGAATTCATTGTTAAACAGTCAGCCCTTAAGCATTACTCTTATATTTTGTCCTAAGAGTTTTGTGGTTTTAGTTTTTACATTTAGGTCATTGGTCTATTTTGAGTTAATTTTTATATGTGGTGTGAGTATTGGTCCAGCTTTATCCTTTCACATGTGAAAATCTATTGCCTCCCCAATTTTTAATAATCTGATTATTACAGTGATGATCACTGTTTGCCACCCTGCCAAAAATAATAATTCCTCAGCTTCCATCTTTAGCTTAGACCTTATTTTGATGCTTCTACCAACAGTGAGTAAGAAGTTTATGACCTTAAAAGTTCTTTCAAACTGCCCCTATATCACCTCTCCAAAGCAACGCCAAGAACCATGTAGATATTATACTGCATCCAGGTCTTTGCCAAAGGTATGATTACTTCAGATGTCTCAGCTGTTCTGTACCCCTGAGCAAAGTTCACTTGGATAAAAAGGTAGACACAAGCATTTGCTTATAACCCATAGCCAAATTTCATGTGTACAACTCAAGAACTGCTTTAAAAGGGACAAGCAGTAGTGGGGTATTGTATTTGCAACTTTCCCTGATACAAAAATGGTGACTCCACATCGGTATAAAATTATAACACTCACATAGTTTGGGACTCACATTATTTGGAACAACTTTAACATGAACATCTAATCATAACTTTATCATTGCATTCAAAGTCCTAAGAGGTAGATCCCTCTCTGTTACCTAATAAAAACCATAAACAACATAGTTTCTGAACAATAGAGCCTTGGAGCAAGAAATATTCCTTTTTTGGTCTATTTCCTGGGGGAGACACATAGCCTGAGGCCACTTTGCTTTACGTAAACGCACTTCTTTGTCCAAGAGAAGGAAAATCATTCAATGGCTATGCCAGATCATCCCCTGAAAGTCTCTATAATAATCAGTCATTTAATATATCTAAATATACATTGTGACTAAGGTAAATGATTTTGTCTCTCCAAGCATCCTTTTACTTTATTATATCCAAACTCTATGAATTTTTCAATATTGGTGTATTTTCCTCTTCATACATGAGTGTTGTTGTTACGTGCTGTCAAGTCAGGTAGTTCTGACTCATAGGAACCCTGTGTAGGGTTTCCGAGAAGTGGCTGGCTGGTGGGTTTGAACCACCAACCTTGTGGTTCAAACTGACCTGTGGTCTAGTACTTATCCTACAGCATTACCCCAGGACTCCCAAATGGAGTGCTGTAATTCTAGTGTTTCACATTATCACAAAACTTTATTTCATGCTCTAATTACCTCATTTCATGTGGATAATAAAAGTATTTCTGTCAGAAAGCAAGTAAGAAACCATTTAGCAGCTGTTTACACAGCAAGATCTTACAGAGAGGTAGACAGTCGTTGAGGCTGAAAAGATAACTACACCATTCAGCAGCAGCTCTAATAATGTACCAGAAGCCATCCTGTTTTGCTTCCTACTTGAGTCCTCAATTGCCACAGTGGCTCAGCTGAGAGTAGACTGGTAAAGGCATATGGCATAAAACATAGCATAAGGAACTCCGTGCAAAGGGCTTGTGGACGTGGCAGGCACCTTACTTGGTTTCTAATTTTTCCTGCAGATTTTATTACCTTACCTTCAGCCTATCCAGAGGGAGAAAAGGTCCAAGTAGATATCATTTCAACTATTCTACAGTATTACTCCTCTCTTTATTGCTTTGCATTTTAAAATGTGAATATGGAAAAATGAAAGGAACAGAAACACATAAATAAAAGCTAATACAAGTCTTTTTTGTTTTGTTTTGTTTTTTAAATAAGGCTTATTTTGTGTTTGGCTTGGGAATAGAGTTGGAAAACATCTGTCTGTAACTCAATTCATAGTACATTCTTTGCAGCTTGAAACTACTCAGAAGCTTTTGTTATATTATTCACAGATGTTGGTTAGAATTTTACAATTCCCTAAGCAGTATCTCTAGAAAATCTTCCTAAAAGGCCAAGTTCATTTTTCAACTAATGTGCATTTCTGTGCCTCTTGAAAATAGGCATTTAAATTGTTTTTCTACATTTGACTTTAACTTGGAAAACTTTTGTATGTTAAAAATTATGGCATGAGGTCAGAAGAGTCTTGTTAAACTTAGATGATATAAATCCATTTAAACTAAATTTCTTTCATGAAACCAGAAAGTAAAGTTTTAATGAATTTAATTTGTTCATGAGAACATTTTTAGTATCAGTATAGATTAAATATATTTTATAGTCCATTTGTGAAAAAAATCAATAAAAATAGATAATAAGCAGATTGATATGTTTACTTTACTTTTTTATAATACTGTTAATTTACAGACTACTGATAACCATAAAGGCATTTGTCTGTTAAGCTTGATTAAGATAGTGTTTTTGTATTTCAAGCATAACTTTCATAGGTAATTTCTGTTTGTTAAAAATATGTCCTTAGACCTCACTCTCACAGACCAATTTGCAGCCAAGCAGTAGATAGGTTTATAGTCTTATGTTCAGCATAGAATGCTCAATCATTCAAAATAAAAAGGGCAGCATTTTCCTAAGGATAAAATTAAGAAGGGATAGGAGGGTGGGTGGAATGCAAATAGGAACCACAGGGAGGAAGTGGGGTGTTGCATGGAGGACAATGTAATCATTGAGAAGACACAAGATGCGTGATGTGTTGATTGTAAAACTGATGGTCTTATTTGTAAACCTTCACTCAATTTACAATAAAAAGTTTTTGGGTTTTTTAAAAATTGTCCTTATTTAGAGATACTTTATAAACCAACTAGTCAAAATTAAGATTAGAATTAAAAGGAGAAATTTTAGATTATTTTCAAACATCTGAAAGATTCCATGAAGGAAGAAAATATAAATGTTTTCTCTTTTAAAATGAAAAAGAAAAAAACAACACTTATTTGTAATGCATAATTATTATAGATCGCTTAATGCCTTTTTTCCTCATTCCTAAAACTCTAATTTTAGAGTCATTGTGTGGCATTGTAGGATAAGCACTGGACTGCAAGGTCAGTTTAAACCACAAAGTCTGTGGTTCAAATTTACCAGCCGCTTCTCAGAAACTGTATACAGGGTTGCTGTGAGTTGAAACCAACTCAATGTCACTTGACAACAAAAAAAACAAACTCTCGGAAGGTGTTTTTCCATCAGAGATGAGTAAAGAAAAAAACAGTTCTAATTTTTTAAGAAAATACTTTAATCTAATTCTGGGTTTTTATTAATTTGGATACAGAATTAGTGAGGTTTACATGGGATATTTCTTTTAAAATATATACTATAAGAATGGATAATAATTTTTTTTAATGTTTTATTGTGAATTATGTGATAGTCTACATGGGAGAACTTTAGTTTTACATTCATCCTATCGTATATTGTTTCATTGCCATGGTTACGTCCCCTCCATGCATCATCAACCAACCAAAGGGTATACCCTTTCCTTCTCTGTGTCTAAAGTCCCCAACTGCTCCATCTCTCCACATCATCATCTCTGCCTCCATCTCTGGCATCACTGTTTCTCTGGGTAGGGTCCCGCTCTCCGCTCTTCTCCCTTGATGGTCCCAGGAACCTCCGCTCCTGGACTGCAAAGTTAATCACTGCCCTCCTTGCTACAAAACACCTACCTTTACATTTCCTACCCTCACAATCAGTCCTGATAACAATTATTCACTATTGTATCACAAGAGATCCTGGATAATGTTATTTTTAAGAAATACATGCAATCAGTGTGCTTTTTTATTGATCAATCACAAAACACAAGATAACATTTCTGGCTTGATTATTAGAAACAAAACTGACTACATTTGTTTTATATTCAGAAAGAATATAGGGGAACCAAACTTATGAAGTATGTACTTCTTAAATAATGGATTTCTGTTCCTGTTTATAATTTAGATAAATTGACTGAGCATGAACTGTCCATTTCTCCACTACTTTTTGAAGACAGTCCTCCTGATTTGCAAGCTCCAGGAATTCCTTTCCAAACAAACTCTGAAGAACAGAACAATCCTCAGATACTCCAAAACTCAGTTGTTTTTGGAACATCAGCTGAGGAAGTGGTAAAGGAAATTCGTTTCAGAATTGAACAAAAAACAACACTGACAGCCAGTGCAGGTACTCAGAAGGATTCTAATGGATCTTATGATTATAGTTTCCAAACTGATAAATTCAAGTGTAATATGAGCTTTCTCATTCTCAAATGTGTAAATAACAGTTTACTTATCCATGCTTTGATTTAACTTCTGACAGCTTTATCTACTCAAAATAGCTATGAACCTGGAAGTAAGCAGAAAAGCCTGTAAGCCCAGAGGAAGTTACTCTCATAAATCCCATTTAACCTATCCCTTTTTAAGCACAGAGTGAGAAAGATGAGGCTTTCTACTCCCGTAAAGATTTACACCCTCGGATACCCTGTACAGGGTCACTATGGGTCGGAACCAACTCGACGGTACTTAACAACATGTTGTTATTGGTTTTTTATTTACTGCTTGATGATTAGTTTTCCCTTTGAAAACTTCACTCCCGTCCAGGATTACAATGCCAGAAAGAAAAGAACCCAGATGACCATGATGATGATGTTGTTGTTGTTGTTAAGTGCCATCGAGTCGGTTCCGACCCAT